CTTTGAAGCATTTGGCACATCTGAGACTTAGTTGCTCCTCCTAGCCACCAGTGTAAGGCTTGATGCTTAACCATTGTAGAGTAGCACTAGAGTTCCTGAGGGCGTTGCAGCCACTTCACACACCCTTTTCTGTACGTTCATTAACTGACTTAAAGATTTTAAATAGATTAGCAATCAATTGAAGTCAACAAGGAAAATGTATGTCCTGGCTAGTTTCTTGTCAACTTGACACCAGTCATTTTGAGAATAGGGATCCTCTATCTTAAAAACTTTTCTGGGTAAGCCTGGGGTGCGTTTTCTTGATTGATATGGGAAGGCCTAGGTCATTGTGGGCAGTGCCACCTTGGGGCACTTGGTTCAGGGTGGTTTTTATATTTTAAAAAGGCTGAGTAACCTGGTAAGCAGGATTCTTCCACGGCCTCTGCATCAGTTCCTGCCTGAAAACCCTTTCCTCCCCATGATGCTTTTGGTCATTGTGCTTATCACGTCAGTAGAAACACCAAGACATACTTCAAAAGAAAACGTGAAATTGTTCATAATTGGTTTCCAAAAGCCAACCAATTCATTCGGTGCATGTGGCTGGGGTTCTTACTAAGCATTGTTGGCAGCTACTTCTTCTGTCACATTTATGTTATGGTGCATCACCTAGAATGCTGCCACATTTGTCCAAGCATGTCTTAGTTTTTGTTTTGTTTTTTTTTTAATTGATGCTACTACTCTATAAAGCAGAGCAAGGGTGTTTGGCCACTCTTGGAAAAGTTCAAATCCTTCATGAAGTCAACTTGACAAGTCTTTCTTGGTTCAATTACATGAGGTTAGAAAAAAGCCATTTCCTTGCAACACCCCAGAGAGATTTCACGCACACACGCTTTTTTTGTTCCTCTGCATTGTTGGGATTAAGACATGACACTGGTAGTCCTTTGGCTGGGTCAGCAAGGTAGCTCTGCAGGCTGAGTCTCATGCTGCCTAGCCTGAGTCTGCTCCCCAGAGTGGGAGAAGAGGACCGACCAACTCCTGAAGTCCTCTGACCCTCACACGTGCATGTGCACAGAGAAAATAAACTTGGTTTGGTTTAAAACAGTTAATACATAGGAAATACAGCTTTGTGGGAAGATTCCAAGTCTCCTGCCTTCAAGTGAACACTAGATTATCTTTCTCTAAAAAACTTGATAAAGCTGAACTGCTGAAGCAGCCATCAGTTCCAGTTACCAGTGTCAGCCCCCTAACTTTCTTTTTGCCGAGAAAAGCCATTTCCCGTCCCAGGATCGAGCACTGAAACATCCAGTGTTACCTACCTCAGTTCGTTCTCTTCCCCAAACGACTTCTCTGACTCCATATTCTTGAATGCTATCAGGTCTCCCTCAAACACAGGCCCTACTGCTCTCAGGTTGCCAGCACCTCCTGGACAGATCTGTCTGCCTTGGGACTGCCTTAGCACTGCCGAGGTCCCCAGTGCCTGCTGAAGATCCAGTGAATCAACTTATTTAGAACAATAGCATTTGAAATTCCAGGCCTCCAGTTAGCTGGCGCATTGTGGTTGTAGGGTATTTGTGGTAGAGGATAATAAGGTGAACATGAAGTGTGCATCTGTGTTTAAGTGTGTGTATACACATACTATATATATGTAACAGTAGGACAGTTATATAGGAGTAATGGGACATCATAACAGCATGTTACAGGAACACAGTTCATATTATAGAAATTGGAAAATTTTATAAAGGAAGTTGGGGTACAGATCGCTTTGATACTGTCCCCAAGACACGAGATGAAATAATTGTGGACTGCTTAGTCTTAATAGGTAGTATTTCCCATTAAATTAAGTTATTAAAATTTAAGTTACTGTGTTACGCGCACATCTCGGGAAGAGGACAATCTTGTGGAGTTGCTTCTCACCTTTATGAGAATTCTAGAGATTGAACTTAACTCATCAAGCCTGCATCGTAAGCACTTCTACCCATTTGCTGGCCCCTAATTTACTGTTAAGATATTGTATTTATTTTGTATATGTGTATGTTATTCACATACCACAGTGTGCCTGGAGAGGCCAGAGGAAAACACCTGCGATTCCTTTCCTGCCATCTTGTGGGATCATGGATGGACGGAACTCAGATCAGGCCCTGCAAAGTATCTCTACCCGATGATCCATCTCACCGTCTCTGACTTGAGAGAGAGAGAGAGGGAGAGGGAGAGGGAGAAGGAGAGGGAGAGGGAGAGGGAGAGGGGAGAGAGAGAGAGAGAGAGAGAGAGAGAGAGAGAGAGAGAGAGAGAGAGAGAGAGAGAGAGAGAGAAAGAGAGAAGAAAGGCTGTGAAATGCAGATTGGCCTTGGCCTTGAACTCAAAATCCTCCCTCAGTCTCCCTCCCACATGCTGAAATTACAGGTGTGCACCATGAGTAACTTGTCATCAAACATTACATGTTAGTAATTGTTAGGATATTTATACCAACTGTATGTGGAAGGTATTAGGTACCCTTTACCTTTTAAATAGCATCATAGTTTTGCTTTTAAACAAATGAGAAAAACCTTTTTTGGCTAGAAGAATATAATTGCATTTTCCATTCTGTTAAAAAGTCTAGGGGTTGGGGATTTAGCTCAGTGGTAGAGCACTTGCCTAGCAGGCGCAAGGCCCTGGGTTCGGTCCTCAGCTCTGGAAAAAAAAAAAAAAAAAAAAGTCTAAGTAAACATGTGAGTTTGCCACTTTTCTGTGAATTATTTTCACATTTTGCCCTTTGTCAGTTCTTCTGACTGGGATGTGGACAGGCTTGTGCTGGGGAGATGGCTCTGGGTTAATTACCTGCTGCCCAAGTGTGAGGTCTGGAAGCGGCAGAACGCATGTAAACCTGCTGTGGATATCGCTTTATATAAATAAAGCACTGATTGGCCAGTGACCAGGCAGGAAGTATAGGCGGGACAGGAGAGAGGAGAATTGAGGAAGGAGGAAGGAAAGGGGGACTGGCTGGAGCCACCGCCAAGACAAGGAAGACGTAAAGTACCGGTAAGCCACGAGCCACGTGGCAAAGTAAAGATTAATAGAAATGGGCTGAATATAAGAGTGAGAGCTAGACAATGATAGGCCTGAGCTAATGGCCAAGCAGTTTAAATAATGTAAGAGTCTGTGTGTTTGTTTTATAAGTGGGCTCCGGAACTGGCAGGACTTGGCAGTGGGAGCTGGAGCAAAATTCTCCAGCTACATAAACCTGGTCGGGATTGAGTATGTCTGCCATACCTTTGCTCCTAAGGGGAGATGGGAGGCAGTTAGAATAATCCACAGATGCTCAGGGCCAGCTAGTCTGGTGTGGACAGCACAGACCTTGTCTCAAACAAGGGGGGCAACAGCCATGCTTGTTCTCTGACCAACAAACATGCCTGCACTCAGACATACGCACATGTGCGTGGACATGGAGACACACACACTTTAAAAGACTTCAAAGAGAGATGGTAAAACTGTAAAATAATGTGGCCTTTCTGGATTTTATGATGTCATTGGCAAATAGTATGAGGTACATTTTCTAGACTTGGCTCCCTCTGTTTCCCTCTGTGTTTTGAATGTTTGTGTTCATGTTGAAACTTAATGCTCAACAACATCAAGAAGTACAAGATTGTACCTTGTGGTGGTTAGGTTGAGAGCTTTGTCCTCACGGATGGGATCAGTGCCGTATAAATTGGCTGGGGGCAATATGATAGATCTCTTTTTGCCCCTCCCCATTTGACATTTGTCTTTCTGGAGCATGCAGTGTTCCAGGTGCCTTCTTGAAAGAAGGGACTGTGCCCTTATCAAACACTGACCCTGCCTTCCCTTGGATCTTGGACTTCTTAGCAATAGAACTTTAAGAAAACAAGCAAAAACGTTTAAGGGAGATTTTTAGATACCCAGAAAAGAGCAGTTGGGGAAAGGCAGAGTTTGTATGGTGCAGGAGCCAAAAGGACACGTGAAAGAAACATTTGAATCTTGGTATATTGTTTGATCCATATCATCTCTTCTATGTGATTCTCCACTTTGCAACCCGGGAACTGAATTTGTAATTGGTTTTGAAATGGACTCAGACATGTTTTCTCTTAATTTCTACCCATTAAATTCTTCCCTTAAGTTAATATGCAGCCCAGTCTTCTATATGTCTCATTAGCTTTTTTTTTTTGCCAATACTTTTATTTATATAAAGTATACACATGTGTTTATTGGAGACAGGATCTCATGTATCCTAGACTGGCCTTGAACTCATGATGACCTTGAACTGATCCTCCTGCCTCGACCACAGGGTTTGGGATTACAGAGCATATGCCACCATGCCCTCTTTTATGTGGTGCTAAGCACCAAACCCAGAGCCTTGTACGTGCTAAGAAAAGTATCCACCAAAAAGTCTAAATGCCCAGCTCCACTGAGCCTAGTTTCAGATGAGGGGTTAGCTTTATCTACCTTAGTATTACAGTCCGGGTCTAATTTGAGTTAGCTTTCTTAACCAGAGGACCTGAGGACTGTTATCCTGTGTGTTGAGCAGTGAGACATTGAAATCTTACTGAGTAGGTGCAGGTGCTAGATTTCCAAGGTAGGGAAAGGACACCCTTTTCACAAAATACTTGAAAGAGTCTAGTTACTCTGAATCTGAAAAATGAGGCTGATATCAGCCGATGTGCCAGCGGCCTAAGAAGCCAAACTCCCCACTTTATCCAACGGTCCATTCTCTCTCCTACCCTAGGAAGAGTGTTAGACGGCATAGCTCTCCACTCAGCAGTGACCCAGAGGCAGCAACAGTGTAAACGGTCTCCTAACCATCCGGGCATCCACCCTGGCTTGGTACCCTGACGCCATGTCCTTTTCCTGCTCTCCTAGCCATCCCAGCATCCACCCTGGCCCGGTACCCTGTCGCTAGGTCCTTTAGCTGCTGTACCCGCCGAGCTCAGTGGGGCGGCCCCAGGCTACCGGCGCCTAGCAACCAACGGCGCACCGGGCAGGCGGGGCCACGGCTGCAAGCGCTCGCTGGCTCCGGCAGGACCGGGCCGTGCCGAGCGGCGGCCGCGCTCCGAGCGTCGCCGGGCTGCCGGCCGCTGAGCATGCTCGCCCGGAGAGTGGTGCCAGTGCGAGCAGGCTGCGGGCCGCCCCGCCCCGCCGCGGCGGACAGTCCCGCGACACCGCTGGCCTGGGCCGAGGGCTCGGGTCCGAGCCAGGCCGCCGCTGGCTCCCACGCTGCCCGCTGCCCCCGCTGGCCGAGCAGCACACTTTGGTGCCTTGGGTCCGGCACCTGAAGAAGCCCATCTCCTCGGTGCAGCTGCGGGGACGGTGAGTTCAGGGAGTCGAGTCGGGGCTCCAGGCTGGAGGCAGGAAGGGCTCCTTCCCTCTAAGGAGAAACTAACTGAACGTCTCCTAGAGAGCCACGTGGGCCACTCCAAAGCTGCTCTCGAGGCACTTCGGCAGGATGGCTTGGGCATGGGGACCTGACCAAGCATGCTCCACTTGTGGAGTAAGATGGCAGGAAGTGAGGAAGAAACCCTGAGTATTCTTAATACTGGACACACCCTTCCAGGCTTGCCCTCCACTTCTTCCAGAGCTTAAACCTAAGGTTGGGAGCAGAGATGTGTCCCCCTTTCTCCTGCATAGTCTCAACTAAATGGACCAGAACTCCCTACGTTGCCAGCCCTGTCTTGTATAATTTCCGATGTGCTCATATTTGTGGGTGTATTTTTTTATTTTCACTAGAATCTGAAGATACTAGGAAATAATTGTGCTGGGCAGGTAGACTGTTTTATGTACTGGTTGCCCACATTGGTTGTCCAGCCTTTTTGGAATCATAAACGTCAGAGAAACCATAGGGACAAATGCAAACAACTTGGCAAACAAATGGTCTTAGGCCATTGTGCTCGGAGAAGCAAAAGAACCCCAGGTCTTGGATTATATGCACGTGTGCATGTGTAGTCCCTGTTAATTAACTGTTAGAATAACGTTGGGTTTTCTTTTACTTTAGCCCCATGTTGGTACACCAACATGTTGTTGGTTGTTTTTGCCTTTTGGTGGGGCCTACCACCCAGCTCCCAATAAATAACACACGGAGACTTATTCTTAATTATAAATGTCTGGCCTTAGTTTGGTTTAGTTTCTAGCCAACTTTTCTTTAATTATCCCACCAAACTTTTGCCTCTGGGCTTTTCCCTTTCTCTTACTTCTGTAAATCTTACTTTTCACTCTTACTCCATGGCTGACTGGGTGGCTGGCCCCTGGCATCCTCTTTTTTCTTTATTTCCTTTTTTCTCTTTCCAGATTTCTCCTCATATTCTCTCTGCCTGCCAGCCCTGCCTTTCCTTTCTCCTGCCTCACTATTAGCCATTCAGTTCTTTATTAGACCATCCAGTGTTTTAGGCAGGCAAATTAACACAGCTTCACCGAGTTAAACAAATGCAACATAAAAAAAGGCAACACATCTTTGCATCATTAAAGCAAATGTTCCACAGCACAAACAAAAGTAACACCTTAAAATAATATTCTATAACAAGAATGTTTCATAAGACTTTTGTTGTTGCCTTTTTAAAAAGTTATCTGTGATTTTGAAATTACATTATGGCATATTAGGGCTTCTTGTTGACTCAGCAGAGATGTGAGAAGGACCCAAAGTTTTCCTTATTTGCTACCACTTCCTTTACTTTTTAATACATTTAGTGTTCTTCTGTCTTCCACCGTTTTAACTTTGGTTTTGGCCATGGATGGTAGAACCTATACAATCCCAATTGAGAATGGTTCCCATTTTTCCCTTTTTACAAACAACACAACTGTGGTGATATTGTGTTCCCCAAAATACTGTACACCCTAATAAACTTATCTGGAGTCTAAGAACAGAACAGCCATAATATTAAACATAGGGGTTAGGCAGTGGTAGCACACGCCTTTAATCCTAGCATTCGAGAGGCAGAGATCCGTCTGAGTTCAAGGCCACACTGGAAACAGCCAGGCATGGTGACTCATGCCTTTAATCCCAGGAAGTGATGGCAGAAAGGTATTTAAGGTGTGAGAACCAGGAACTAGAGCTGGTTAAGCTTTTAGGCTTTTGAGCAGCACAGTTCAGCTGAGATTCATTCTGGATGAGGACTCAGAGGCTTCCAGTCTGAAGAAACGGGATCAGTTGAGGAATTGGCCAGGTGAGATAGCTGTGGCTTGTTCTGCTTCTCTGATCTTCCAGCGATCACCTCAATACCTGGCTCCAGGTTTGTTTTTTATTAATAAGACCTCTTAAGATTTTTGCTACAGGGGGCTGGAGAGATGGCTCAGAGGTTAAGAGCACTGAGTGTTCTTCCGGAGGTCCTGAGTTCAATTCCCAGCAACCACATGGCTCACAATCACCTGTAATGAGATCTGGTGCCGTCTTCTGACCTGTAGTCATACATACTGTATACAAAATAAATAAATACATCTTTAAAAAAGAAGATTCATGCTACACACAACAGTGAACATTTTTCTACGGGTCGGGTGGGGACTGGGAAATGGCTCAGCAAGTGAAGACATTTCCAGCACAACCTTGATGTCCTGATGTCCAAACTCACAGAGGAAAGAGAGGACCAACTCCACAGGGCAGTCCTCTGGCCTCCACATGCATGCTGTGGCATATGTGACCTCCCCACTCTCTGCCACATACATGGTGGGGGGAGGGAGTAAAGAAACAGAACTACTGAGTCAGATGTATGTACATTAAAATTTTTGACAGAATTTTGCTTTTAAAAAGGTTGTATTGATTTGCATTTTCTTTCTTTGTGTGTGTGTGTGTGTGTGTGTGACAGTATCATGTCATCCAGGCTAGCCTTGAACTCACTATGTCGCTTGAACTGATCCTCTTCCTATTACCTCCCAATTATAACTGTACCATCATGCAGGTTTACCTTTGTATCAGCAGGCTGTGGTGAGGGAAAAATACTTATTATTATTTAAAAATAACTAAAATCATAGTTTCTGTTCGCAGAGTGCTTATTACATGTTACTGCCTGATGCTCAAAGGTGTTTTAGAAATTCAGTCTTTGTCCCCTTATGAGAGGCAGAGGCATGACCCTATGAGTTTGTAACTATCAGAAGGCAAAGTGGAGACTAAAAGCCGGGTTCACTTTACTCTAATGCTGGGTTTTATAGGCTTCAAAGCCTTGTTCCAGTGACTCACGCAGCAAGCCCAACTTTTGGTTAGCTTCAGTCAATTTCTCCTGAGCCTGAGGCAGAAGGCAGAGAGCTGAAGACAGGCATAGGTCCATCCCTAAGAACCCGTCCATCTCCAGCAACTTCTTCCTCAGGCCTAAACCTCAGACCTATTTGGTCCCATCAAGTGGAGCCTTAAAACCTAGGCCTGGTATGGGGGGCATACCAGGGCAATTGGGTAGTTGGAGGCGTACGTATTATGTCTTTCTCCACACTAACTCCTGTCCACTCAGATATGGCCCCTTGTCTCCATGATGCTCTGGGTTGTCTGTCTCTCTAATCACTCCTCCTCCTTTTCTTTGTCTTCGTACCCCACATATATCTTAAAAACTATTCCGACTTTCTTCTCTCTCTCAAATCTCCTCTGCCAACTTTAGTGACGCCTTACTTCTCATCTGTAAATAGATAGTTTTTAACCTTTTGTCTCCAAACCAGTTACCCCCAGTTTCTACTGAGTGGTTCCAGGTTGTGTATGTCCGCTGGATACCCTTCTGTACTTGTTTTCTGTAAAACAGTGTTTCTCATCACCTGTCAACCTCCACTCCAGCTCAGTCTCTTTGGACTCTGTATTGGTCAGGTTCTTGTGCCCAGTTAACAGCCACAGTCACCTTTAACTCCCTCTTCCCGGTCAGAATGTCAGTATTCAGTCCATTGTCAATTACATTCTCACTAGACTGTTTTAGTAGCTTCCTAGCAGGGTAGCAATGCACACCTGTAATCCCAGGACTGGAGAGGCTGGGTAGGAGGTGTGTGAATTTTTCTGCAATCCTGGGTGACATAGTAAGACAGATCTTGTATAAAAAAAAAAAAAAAAAAACAGAAAGAAAGAAAGAAAGAAACGAAAAGGGCCGGGCAGCAATGGCACACACCTTTAATCCCAACACTGGGGAGGCAAAGCCAGGCAGATCTCTGTGAGTTCAAGGCCAGCCTGATCTACAGAGTAAGATTCAGGACAGGCACCAAAACAACACAGAGAAACCCAGTCTCTAAAAAAAGCCACCACCACCCCAAAAAAAACCCCAAAACAAACAAAGGAAAGAAAAAGAAAATCACTTGTTTTAGCAGTTTTCCAGCTATGGTGACATACAGATCCCAATATGCTGTTTACTTTTATAAATAGAAGTTGTTCTTGCTCACATTGTAACAATCCCAAGGCAGGTGTATTTATCAACAGGCAGCTTTCTTCCAGTTTTTAGAACCCAGGCTCTGCCTTAAGTGCCTTAAGTAGCACTTCACTGTTATCTAAATCCAGCTAGCACACAAGTGGTGGTTAAGTTTCACGAGTGTTTCCTCAGTGATCCAGGCGGCAATTGTATTGTATTTTTATGACTTAATCTTGGAAGTCACACTGACTTCCTCTGCTTTATTCATTCATCTATAGTTAATGGCTACAGAAGTTAATTTCAGGGAAAGGGGCACCGATCTCATCACTGAACCCTGACGTCACGTGGGAAGGAAGAGCATGTGAGACTAAATTCATACTAGCATATCCCTCTTTGACAAAGAGTTTCCTAAGTGCCATGAGAAGACAAACTGCAAACTGCCATTGACCTGTGAAAGCTGCTAGAAAACTTGCCATCTATCTGAGCCATGCTAAGAAAGTGAGCTGCTGAGGGGTGGAGCTTCTAAGCTAGACCAGCTCAGCCCTGGGGCCAGAATTCCCACTGCTACATAGTTAGAGACTGCAGCCCAAGAAGATTGCTTGATTGTGCCTGTAACTCTGAAACCCCAGGCCAGGCAGCGGTCAGTGGGAAACTTCTCTGTTTAGCAAAGTATCCATTGCTTAAGCAACAGTTGACTCCTGGAGGCAGCGCCTCTCCAAGTCACGCTTGAAAAGTTACAAGTGATGTAAAGAAATTAACCACAATCAGGAGACACGCAAATGCAGTTAATGGCATATTTGTGTACAGCAGCAGTTCTGAGCCCCTCTGGGCCCAGCAACACTCCTGAGAGTAGCAACAGAGAGGCAACGGGGAGATGTGCTGAGGAGTTGGCACACACAGGAGTCAGCATAAAGAGGGTGTCTTGCTGCCCTGTGTGCGGCCGCTGGAGAAGTGCAAGGCTTCTCAGAGCGCAAGGGGGCGCTGCAGTGGGAGCCATCTTGAGAAGGTCCC